TAATTCTTAATTGTTTTGATTATGACACGGGATAAATAACCCAATTAAATATATATATTTTTTCCATCAACTATTTTTTTCTATTCACAACTGATGATGATGTCAAACAAAATTTAAAGGAATGAGTTTTTATTTTCTCGCTTAATAATCTAATCATATATAAAACTGACTAGATAAGTGCTTCTTCTTTTTATATTCATCTACGTGCTACCGACAACTGATGTATTGCTAATTCTCAGGATGTGTCAACGAAGCGTTGATGTCTCGAGTAAATTAAAGATTAAAAAAAAAACCCGATGCAATAATGCATATTTTCTCCGATTTCCATTAATTTTCTTTTTCTGTTATTATTCATTGGCCTATTTTTTAATCATTATCAGATGTTATTTTTATAATTTTTAAATATTTACTGTAAAAAACGATAGAATGTCATTTGAACTTTATGCACACTGAAATTTTTGCTTCTGTAATACAAATTTTGTTTATTTGGTATCATTTTTCCAAAATAAAAAACTTTCATATTTATTATCTTCAATATTGGTAGAATTAGAGATGTTTCAGTTGTTATATAGCATGCCAAACCAACTGCAGATTTTCGAGGTTTCGTATATATTCATGTGCTTACGGATGTTTCTCTTAGTTATCCCACTAAAGTCAGTAAGTGCACGTATGGCGTGTGGTAGATTACGTTTAATTATTAGATTCGCACCCCCTACGGATTTGCATTCTCCTCTCTACATTTGCAACACTCGATTCTAAACCTCTGGGATAATTAAGTTATCCATTCCAGACGTCCTTCAAATACGAGAAATATTCGAACAATGTTCTCAAACTCTGTATAGAGTCTATAATACAGAGTAGATTCGCGAATCCGATTCTACCAAAAAAAAATATATTTTCTTTCAATGGAATTTTTTTAAATTCTAGAAAATTAAATTCTTCATACCTCTTTGTATTTAATTTAAAAATTATAATTGGATCATATGTTATTTGAAAATTCGAAAAAGGGAAATTATGTACAGTGACTATTATAAGAAATAGAGATTATGAAAAATTATATATCGGCAAAACAAAATTTACGACATTTATATTTTCTGTGTTTTGTGAATTATGTCAAATAGCAAATAGTGAAAGTGAATTTTAGGTTATGTGGATTTTAGAAAAATGACAATTATAACAAATAAAGTTTAGAAAATTGAAATTTATGTAAAATAATATTTCGAAGCAATAAAAATTATACTAAATGAAAATGTGATTAGATGAAAATTCTAGATAATTGAAATTCGAAACATTTAAAACTTCTAACCAATGGTCATTCGTCAAAATAAAAATTATGTTAAAAGGTAATTTGATTATTTAAAAATTAGAATAAATGGTTGTTCGAGAAAATAAAAATTATGTTAAATGGTATTTCGTAATATAAAAATTATGTGAAATGACATTTCGATAATAAGAATTTTGATGTCTTAAAAAATTATGAAATTGAAATTTGGGGAATAATCATGCGCCCCTTTTTTCCGTGACAATAGAAGTGAGTGACATTTTTTTTGAAGTTTATTAAATTTTTAAAAGTAAAACTTGACAATACTCTTTTTCTTTTTTTTCTCTCTTTTATATTCTTCTTATATATACGGGAATATTTTTCCAATGTGTTGAATATAACAGTTATATACTGAAGGATATTGTACTTTATGAATATTGTGGAAAATATGCGCCCAGGTATAATATTGAATAGAATGGACTGATAATAATGATCAATGTGTATGTGTGTGTGCGTGGGGGTATGGTCCTGTTGTAGCACTAATTTGAAATTAGCCCGAGGGAAAGCATGTCTCTGACGCGACCCTTATTCCAAGGACCTTGTTCGACTATCCAATGTCCCTCGACCTCAACTCCCTTGGCTAGACAGTACACATAGAATGACGAGAGTAGAGCTTCGGGCAACGAATCCATAGGCCATCGTTTATTTTCCTTTACCTTATATATAGTTCAGTTCGACATGAAAAATTTTCAGTTACCAACGATAATGAGATGATAATAATAAAGATTGATACAATGTAATAATAACGAGACACACTTCAATTTATTTACAATAAATCGCCTCTCAGGGATGTTCATTTATTTTATTGCGAAAAAAATCTATGAGTATAAAACATTATAAATACCACAGTTTATTTAATGTAAATATTTATTTTAATCGAATAAAATTTATTTATTAAAAAAAAAATTTTTTCTCTATGTAACACGTAAGAGACTTGACAAAATTGTAGTAAGTTAGAAAGATTACGAATTTTTTTTTTTGCACTTTAGCAGAAATTCGTCGAATGTATAAAAAGGAACGTTTTACAAAAGAGAAAAATAATAAAATCTGCTCACGTTGGGATTCGAGTATAGCGGGTCTGCCAAGTATCAAAGATTCGTATAGACGTCCAGAATCTTTTTTCTCTCTTTCTCTCTCTCTCTCTTTTTACTCGATCGAATTGCTCCATCGAATCCGCAATAAAAGTATTATGTATGTAATTTTATTCCACATGTTACAGAAAATTATCTCGTTTTCAATTCATTTTGAAATTACTTTTAAAGATTTGCAAAATTTTATTATCAGTAGTAAAGGTCAGTTGCAGTCAGACAATACAGTCAACGAATACAAAAAATTTATTTAAAAAAAATAGAAGAATCGACTGAAAAATAAAATAAGACGAATATAAAGAAATGAACCTTAGAACGTGAGCGATTCAAGAGTAATTTAATCTCATTTCACGTGTCTGAACATCTATAACTGAGAATCAATTCTCAACGGTTTAAAAGCAGATTATAGACATTTATATATAATTATAATTTAGCGATGATATTGAAGTTTGTGAGCTATTAGTATATAAATAATAATGACTTCCTTATTTATACTAAAATAAAGTAAAATTTCTCGTTATATTATTACTAAATAGCGAGTTATTAAAGTTTTATAAAAAAAATTGAACGCTATATATAATTATACATTATTCTCTAATATCCATTTAATTTGAAAATAATAGTTTAGCAATGGTAATTTATGTATAATATAATCATTAAAAAAATCGTCCAACATTTTTATAATTAACTTACAGTTTATAGTGCAAGAGTTATAATTTCGGTTAATATTAATTAAACGTATTACGTATTATTATATACAGTTGAAAGCGCGTGAACAACATGTTGAATGGACCATACACGCGAGTATCGTTGACATTAATCTCTCCTCGCGAATGGGGCGGGTGTGCGGAATGAAAATAAAATTCCTAGACCTCATGACTAGAATTATTGAGAATAAATTATACATTAAGGGTGTGTGTATGTGTGTGTGGGTCTCTCTCTCTCTCTGCGTTCATATGGGAATAGATTTTGTAGCACAGGTCACGTGATCTATACACGAACTGCGACTGGATTATAAATGAAATTTGGATTAATTTGATTCCATGACTTTCAAAATGTGCAATTATGTTGAATTAATTACTTTTGCCACACAACTTTTCACACAATTTTTTTTTTCATTTTCTTGAAAATATTCTTCAAGTATTGAAATTGATTTATTTTATTCATATTTATAAATATAAAATTATTTATATTAATATAAATAGTGTAAATAAATAAATAAAATAAAAATTTTATATTTATGAATTTTGTAAATTTTAATTTTTTTTTAGTTTATTTATTTAATTTTTTATTGTATATTATTTCCGCCATGGGTTTTTGTAATCTTTAATATAATATAAAGATTATATAAATATATTCATATATTGGATATGAAAAGAGGATAATCCGGAAAAAAAATTCTTAAACGCACGAATCGACAAAATTACAATATTATTGTCCAATTTGAACTTGAAATCAATCACTGAAAATAACGCATGATTTGAATATACACACATATATACATTGTACGTAAAACGAAATATATCCGATCATGCAGAATGCCAATGAATTAATAGCAGATGGTGCGGTTGTACCTCGGAAATTACGCCAAGCGTAAAGGCCACGCGAATATTATATAAAATTTCATTTTCACAGTGACAGATTCCATCGACACGAAAATATCGCGGTGAAAAAAATCAAGAAAAAATTATACAATAAAAATTATTTTCTCCATTTAAGACTAATTTTCAAATTTTAAAATTAGCATTTTAAAGAATTATAAACGAATTTTTAACAAAATTTTTAGGGAAATTTATAAGTCCCTAAAAATCTTTATTAAATGATTACAATTAAATGAAAGTCAATTAAAAAAGTATATGTTTATATGATTGGACATTAAACTCAATTAAATATTGTCTCGATTCATATTCATCTAGATATACATATTAGATGTCATGATAAGTTTATTTAAAACTTAGGAGCGGTCCAGCTTAAGTCGTACTTGTCAGACGTAAATACTTCCACTTGTATAACATAGGTGAAGTCTAGACAAGGTTGAATCTGATCCTTCCACTGATTATTTCTAGATTTATGATCACGCAGGACTAAACACACGTTTTATACATATATATATACTCAAAGTGTTTCAAATGTTGTATTCATTTTTCATTTTATTTTACATTTAATGAAAAATAATCTCGCTCAACTAGTGTCGATTCCTTCACTTCAGGATTTACTTTAATTTATTATTTATTTCATTTTCCATAAATTATAATTCTATTAGTGCTCTTTTTCTCGCTAATTATTTCTTTTTACTGCCATAAATAAAGGTACGCAATCTTAATTAAAATTTAAAGCAGAAAATAAGAATTGAAAATTAAAAAAGAAGTTATTAATTAAAAGTAATGACGAAAAAAATGCAAATAATAAAATTAAAAAACGTTTTCTTCTTTGTATACTTTAGTGTAAATAAAATTTTTTTGTTAAACTTTTTTTTAAAATTTTCAGTTAAAATAATAGTATACGTGAACTTACATAATTGATTCCTAATACCAAACTAAAAATTTGATGCTTTTATTCTTTTTCTGTTTTTAGTCTTTATTTGATAACAGAAAATGTTAGTTAATATTTGGATTCTCTTCTTCTTTCTATTTTCCTCCTTAATAGGTAAATTATGATTTTTGAAGTTATATTATTTATTATATATTATATTTATTTCTGTGAAGAGAATGCTAACTTCGATTTACTTTTTAATCCACAAAGCTAAGTTTTGTCCCTGTTAAATTAATTTTTCTTTTTTAATATTAATTCTGAGGAAAAGCAATTTTACATTTGTATTTTGTAATTATTAATTACCTCCTTTAGCTACAACAGTATCGACTGATACGACAACTGTTTCAAGTGGATTAACAGGCACAACAAATACATCGAATATAACTCAGGTTCCACCTTTTTCATCAGCATTCTGCACAGGCAGTAATGAAGTATATTCTCCCAATGCTTTAAATTTAGCATGTCAACCTTCTTGCTCCTATCCCGCTATACAAACAAATTGCCCTCAGGTAAATGTAGAAAAATTTTTTAATAAATTTCAAATTTTATTTATCTGTACTTCATTTAATAAATAGCAAAATTAAAACTGTACGCACTTGATTCTGATACTGTACCATGAGAAACTAAACACACTTCTGATTCTGATTTTAAAAAATCAGAACTGTACACTTTTCTGATTCCGAAAACCAAAAATTATTTTTGCTCATCATTATATTTTTACAGGGATATTATCCGGGTTGTGTTTGCAATACGTTTTATATAAGGGACAGTAATTACGCATGCATTCTTGCAGAGGCTTGCCCAACAAGTAATTGTTATATTTCTTCTAAGCTTTTTTTCTCCTTTTTTTTATTTGAAAAAGAATAATTTTCAATTTATTTGATATTCAATTAAATTTATTCAATAGCAACCACAGTTGCCGCGACAACGTGTCAAGCCAATCAGACATACGATGCAAGGGCAGCAGATCCCACTTGCAGACCTACATGTCAGAATCTTTCTGGATCTTTGACTTGTAGTGCGGTATAGTTATAGCATAATTTTTTTCTCTTATGTTCTTTTTAAATCGGTTAATTACTAAAAAAAATTCTACTTTTTCTAATCTTTAAATTCATTTCTGTAAATGTAGTTTTTGTTAAGGCAAAAATTTGTCCTGTAAAAATATTAACGAGATATTAAATACTTTTCAGGCTCTTTATCCAAGTTGTGTTTGCGCAAAAAATTACGTAATTAGTAATACAACCACCAATAGTTGTATATTTATAACTGACTGTTGACTATTTAAAATAATCCACAGAATTATTGTCTTTCAAGTGAAATAAAAAAAAACGTAATAAAAAATAAAAATTTGAAATTTAAATATCCCTTCTTTAATTTTTATCTCATTTCATGATGGAAATTTAATAATAAACATATATTTTTAATTTTTATAAAATTAATATTAATTTGAAATTTTTGTATTAAATACTACGCTACTGATTCGTCTATATTGTGTTATTGTTTCTGATTTTCAAATTCATTTGAATATTAAATGACGTTTTTTGTTAACGATTATATTATACGTGAAATTCAACAAAGGTTTTAACAAAAAAGCAATGTAGATAAAGACATCTTTCTTCTATTTTATCAACACTATTGTTAATAATTTTTTCAGTAATGTAACATTTCGTTTCTTGTTAATAATTTTTCATTATTTTTGAGTGCTCATTCGGAATATGATGTACATTAAAATTGTGATGTTTTTCTCCTCACTTTTCTTCTTCTTAATAGGTAAATGGTTCATCAATTATATTATTTATTGTATTATATATATTTACTAGTAAAAAAAATGAGTATAAATTCACTTTTTTAAATTCACAAAGGAATATCAAATCAACAAACTTGTACAAGCTTGGAAAATGCTGTAGCAAATTCAGTAAAATGAACAATTAAAATGACTTAATTTTTATATCAATTCAAAGTAAAAGCAAATTAGGATTTTAAATTAATGTTTTCTTTAGCGACAACTGTAACGACAGTTACAACTCAATCCACTGTTTCAACAACTCCATCAACAACTGCGTCAACAACTCTTTCCACAACTTCAATAGCAACTCCATCTATAACTGCGTCAGCAACACCTTCCACAACTTCAACAACAACTCCATCCACAACTGCGGCAACAACTCCTTCCACAACTTCAACAACAACCACATCCACAACTTCGTCAACAACACCTTCCACAACTACAACAACTCCATCCATAACTTCAACAAAAACTGCGTCAACAACTCCTTCCACAACTTCAACAACAACTCCATCCACAACTTCAACAACAACTGCGTCAACAACTCCTTCCACAACTTCAACAACAACAACCACATCCACAACTGCGTCAACAACACCTTCCACAACTACAACAACTCCATCCACAACTTCAACAACAACTGCGTCAACAACTCCTTCCACAACTTCAGCAACAACCACTTCCACAACTGCGTCAACAACTCCTTCCACAACTTCAACAACTCCATCCACAACTGCGTCAACAACTCCTTCCACAACTTCAACAACAACTTCAACAACAACCACATCCACAACTGCGTCAACAACTCCTTTAACAACATCTCCATCCACAACTGCGTCAACAACACCTTCCACAACTACAACAACTCCATCCACAACTTCAACAACAACTGCGTCAACAACTCCTTCCACAACTTCAACAACAACTCCATCCACAACTTCAACAACAACTGCGTCAACAACTCCGTCCACAACTTCAACAACAACCACATCCACAACTGCGTCAACAACTCCTTTAACAACATCTCCATCCACAACTACGTCAACAACACCTTCCACTACTGCGTCAACATCTCCATCTACAACTGCGTCAACAACTCCTTCCACAACTTCAACAACAACCACATCCACAAGTGCGTCAACAACTTCATCCACAACTGCGTCAACAACTCCTTCCACAACTTCAACAACAACCACATCCACAACTGCGTCAACAACACCTTCCACGACTACAACAACTCCATCCACAACTTCAACAACAACTGCGTCAACAAATCCTTCCACAACTTCAACAACAACCACATCCACAACTGCGTCAACAACTCCTTTAACAACATCTCCATCCACAACTACGACAACAACACCTTCCAAAACTTCAACAACAACTCCATCCACTACTACGTCAACAACTCCTTCCACAACTTCAACATCAACCACATCCACAACTCCATCCACAACTTCAACAACAACTGCGTCAACAACTCCTTCCACAACTTCAACAACAACGATCACATCCACATCTGCGTCAACAACACCTTTCACAACTACAACAACTCCATCCACAACTTCAACAACAACAACCACATCCACAACTGCGTCAACAACACCTTCCACAACTACAACAACTCCATCCACAACTTCAACAACAACTGCGTCAACAACTCCTTCCACAACTTTAACAACAACCACATCCACAACTGCGTCAACAACTCCTTTAACAACATCTCCATCCACAACTACGTCAACAACACCTTCCACTACTGCGTCAACATCTCCATCCACAACTGCGTCAACAACTCCTTCCACAACTTCAACAACTCCTTCCACAACTTCAACAACAACTGCGTCAACAACTCCTTCCACAACTTCAACAACAACTGCGTCAACAACTCCTTCCACAACTTCAACATCAACCACATCCACAACTGCGTCAACAACTCCTTCCACAACTTCAACAACAACCACAACTGCGTCAACAACATCTTCCACAACTACAACAACTCCATCCGCAACTGCGGCAACAACTCCTTCCACAATTTCAACAACAACCACAGCCACAACTTCGTCAACAACACCTTCCACAACTACAACAACTCCATCCACAACTTCAACAACAACTGCGTCAACAACTCCTTCCACAACTTTAACAACAACCACATCCACAACTGCGTCAACAACTCTTTTAACAACATCTCCTTCCACAACTACGTCAACAACACCTTCCACTACTGCGTCAACATCTCCATCCACAACTGCGTCAACAACTCCTTCCACAACTTCAACATCAACCACATCCACAACTGCGTCAACAACTCCTTCCACAACTTCAACAACAACCACAACTGCGTCAACAACACCCTCCACAACTACAACAACTCCATCCACAACTGCGGCAACAACTCCTTCCACAACTTCAACAACAACCACATCCACAACTTCGTCAACAACACCTTCCACAACTGCGTCAACATCCCTATCGACAACTGCGTCAACAACTCCTTCCACAACTTCAACAACAACCACAACTGCGTCAACAACACCTTCCACAACTACAACAACTCCATCCACAACTTCAACAACAACTGCGTCAACAACTCCTTCCACAACTTCAACAACAACTGCGTCAACAACTCCTTCCACAACTTCAACATCAACCACATCCACAAGTGCGTCAACAACTTCATCCACAACTGCGTCAACAACTCCTTCCACAACTTCAACAACAACCACAACTGCGTCAACAACACCTTCCACAACTACAACAACTCCATCCACAACTTCAACATCAACCACATCCACAACTCCATCCACAACTTCAACAACAACTGCGTCAACAACTCCTTCCACAACTTCAACAACAACAATCACATCCACATCTGCGTCAACAACTCCTTCCACAACTTCAACAACAACTGCGTCAACAACTCCTTCCACAACTTTAACAACAACCACATCCACAACTGCGTCAACAACTCCTTTAACAACATCTCCATCCATAACGACGTCAACAACACCTTCTACAACTTCAACAACAACTCCATCCACTACTGCGTCAACAACTGTTTCCACAACTTCAACAATAACTCCATCCACAACTGCGTCAACAACTCCATCCACAACTTCAACAACATCTCCATCCACAACTACGTCAACAACACCTTCCACAACTTCAACAACATCTCCATCCACAACTGCGTCAACATCCCTATCGACAACTGCGTCAACAACTCCTTCCACAACTTTAACAACAACTCCATCCACAACTGCGTCAACAACTCCTTCCACAACCTCATCCTCGACTGCTTCAACAATAACAACTGAAGCATCCACACTTGCGACTATTCCATCTACTACATGTTCAGATACGGAAGTATATGATGTCAATGCCTTACATATAAATTGTCAACCTTCATGCGCTTATCCTTTAGGACAACTTAATTGCCCTCAGGTATTTTGATAGATTATTGTTAACAATATATGTTTTTTGATCCAAATTTGGTCCTCTTTTGTTGTTTTCTAGGGAATTTATCCAGGTTGTACATGTAGTTCATCATATCCCATTAGATACGCAGTTGGCGTTTGCATTCCTGCCGACTATTGTCCAACAATAAGTAAATATTTAATGCATGTTCTAATTGTTTTTTGAGCTTCTAAAAAATTGTTACTTTTCGCTATCTCATAAGTTATCGTTTTCATTGAAAATTTCGTTTCTGAATTCAACAGAAGTCTGTTAAATATAACAGATAGATAATAATCTTAATTTTTTAATTATAAAAGAGTATATTACTAATTTTTGTAATAAATTTTTGAAATCTTCGTTTTTAAAATTAAATGTGTGATGAAATTAAGGGGATATGTGCAATAATCGGAGTTGAAATGAATTTGAGAATATATCTTTACATTTTTATTATATCTATTTTTAACAGCTACTACAGCTTCCTCAACAGTTTGCAATGCCAATCAAACATATGATCCACATGCTGCAAATGCCCTCTGCAGACCATCTTGTCAGAATCCTGAAGGATCTATCCTGTGTGGTCCGGTAATTATGATTTTTTAATTTATTTGATTTTCCAGCTTATTTCTAACTCATATCCCAATTACTAATTCTAATTTTCAACGTGAGTAGAAAAGTTGTATTATAAACTATAATTTGAAAGTTATTTACATTCTTTATGATATTTTAATTTGTTAAATAATGTGACTTCGTACTGTATATTTCCAATATATTATATATAATTGTGTAACAATTTTTGCCAGAGATTTTTTCCATCTTGTGTTTGTCTACCAATGTTTGTCTTAAATACAAATACCAGACAATGTATTCTTCCATCAGAATGTCCTAACTTTGGAAGATATCCCGGTAATGAAAATGGTAATACAGTTTATTTATAAAATTAATTAATTATTTAATTTATTACACTTATTTGATATAACAATGAAATATTTTAGCTTATAGATTAAAGCGACAAATTTCATTTTGCGGGCTAAATGAATTGTATGATGCAAGAGCAGCACATCCATCTTGCAGACCTTCTTGTGATAAACGTCAAGGGTCATTGATATGCGATAAATTAGTAAATACATAATTTTCTTTATTTTATTTCCTTTTGCTTCCTCGTGGAGGAAGCTTTGTAGTCCTTTCGTTTATACAATTTTTTTTAATTGAAAAGATTTTTAAATAGAAAAATTTAAGGTTATATATAATAAAATCGTATTCCTTACGTCAAGACAAATCGATCGGTATATGTAAAGTATAGTTTTAATTTAAATTTAAAAAATTAATGAAAGTTAAAAAATCAAAAAATCACATTTTGGCTATAAAATTTTGTGATTATGTAAATTTAAGTTTATAGATGAAATGATTGTATTCCTTGCATGAAAACGAATCGATTGGTATATATAAAAGTTACATTTGAGGTAAATTTAATAAATTAATGTAAGTTCAAAAATAGAAAATTCACATTTTAGCTGAAAAATTTTGTATTTATTTAAATTCAAGTTTAAATATAAAATAATCGTGTTCCTTGCATTCAAACAAATCGATATAATTGTAAATAATTATAAATTATATATTATTTTTCACTAATATTAAGAAATTTCGGTTAAAATGTGAATTTTTGATTTTTTAACTTCCATTAATTCTTTAAATTTAACTCAAATGTATAGGTACTCAAATGTTTATATTATTATATTATTTTTGTATGTTTATTTCAATATTAATGCTTTCTCCACGAGGAAGAAAATTTTTTTGCTGATCGTAAAGAGGAAGCAAAATGTTCATGTAATGAACATCTGAATTTTCAACTTGTTTTCTTTATATTTATGAAACTCCAATTAATATTTGTTAATCAGGTACTAACATTTTTTTTCTACGTCAAGAATTTTTATTTATTGTTTAGCCTGGCCTTTATCCTGGATGTGTTTGCCAATTACCTTACGTTAGGTATAAACCTACCCAGCAATGCATTCTTCCAGAAAACTGTCCAAGTATATTCCTTTTGTATAATGATGGATATGCAAATAACTATAATAATTATTTTTATAATGGATTTCGTCGTTAGAAAATTACCACCTGTAATAATATTTATATTACAACTGTATTGCATGTAATGAAATATACTTTAGTCTCTATAAGTACAAATCTATGTGAAATTATTAAAATTCCAAACTTATGTCAATTATAGTAAGAGAATTTAGTACGTGAGATTTAACAAAAAAGCAATGAAAGATAAGGATTTCTTTTTACCATTTTATCAACACTACGGTGAATAATTTTATCAGTAACACAGAATTTCGTTTCCTGTTAATACGTTTTTTGTACTCATTCTGATTATGACGTCTGTTAAAGTTGTGATTTTTTTCTTATTCCTTTCCTTCTTATTGATTGGTAAACGGTTATTCAATAATATTATTCATGATAGTATATTTATTTGTAAAAAAGATGAGTGAAATGTTAAAAATTTGCTTTTTTAAATCTACAAAGAAATATCAGCACAATCCACGACAGCGTCTAGCTCTCAATCATCAACTGATTCAACGACTCAATCCACGACAGTTTCAACGACTCAATCATCAACTGATTCAACGACTCAATCTACGACAGTTTCAACGACTCAATCATCAACTGATTCAACGATTCAATCCACGACAGTTTCAACTTCTCAACCGTCAAATGTCTCAACAGTTTGCAATGCCAATCAAACATATGATCCACATGCTGCAAATCCTCTCTGCAGACCATCTTGTCAGAATCCTGAAGGATATATCGTGTGTAGTCCGGTATTCATAAGTTTTTAATTTTTTTTTTGATTTTACAGATTATTTCTAATTTTTATTCTAATTATAATTTTCAGCATGTTTACAATATTTGTATTCTAAAATACGTGTTGAAAATTATTTAAGTTTTTTATGATATTGCCACTTGTTTAATAATTTTGTTATTTTGTACTATAAATTAAACGAAAATTCCAATATATTATATGTAATTGTGTTACAATTTTAACCAGATATCTTTTCCATCTTGTGTTTGTCTACCAATGTATGTCTTAAATAATGCAAATAGTAGTCAATGTATTCTTCAATCAGAATGTCCTAAGTTTGGAATATATCCCGGTAATGGAAACAATAATACAGTTTATTTATTAAATTAATGATTTTTTAAATTTATAATAACAATTAAATATTTAAGCTTATAGATTATGGCAACAAATTTCACTTTGTGGGATAAATGAATTGTACGATGCAATTGCACCACATCCAGATTGCAGATCTTCCTGTGAGAATCGTCAAAGATTATTGATATGCAGAAAAGTAAATAAATAATTTTCTCCATTTTATTTTACCAGTTATTCTATAACTACAATTAACATTTGTTGTAATTACCACCTTTTTTATATTACATATTAATTATTTGTTTTGTGATAAGTATTTTTAATTTACTGTTTTTCTATCAATATTGATATGATTAATTTTATTACGTACTAAATTTATTTTTCTATTTAAAGGATTATTATTTATTGTTTAGCCTGGACTTTATCCTGGATGTATTTGCAAGAAACCCTACATTAGATACAGAATTACCAATCAATGCATTCTTCCAATCAATTGTCCAAATATATACCTTTTGTATAATAATAGATATAGAAACAACTTCAATAATAATTATTATTATTATAATAGATTTGGTCGTTAGAAAATTACCACATGGAATATATTAACAATATTTATATTACAACTGTATTGTATGTAATGTAATATACTTCAATTTCCATATGTACAAAACTATGTGAAATTATTAAAATTCCCAGTAAAACGTTTTTTAGTGAACAATTATTTTGTACGTGAGATTTAACAAAAAAGCAATGAAAGATAAGGATTTCCTTTTACTATTTTATCAACACAACTGTGAATAATTTTATCAGTTATACAAAATATCGTTTCCAGTTAATACATTTTTTCATTACTTTTTTGTACTCATTCTGATTATGACGTCCGTTAAAATTGTGATTTTTTTCTTATCTCTTCTATTCTTATTGATAGGTAAATGGTCTTTCAATTGTATTACTTATTATAATACATTAAAAACAAAGAAGATGAGTGAATTGCTAATATTTTGCTTTTATTTAATTCACAAAGGAATATCAAATCAAAAAAGAAAATGTACAGAGCGTATGGATGATGTGCCAGATTCAGTAAATGAAGCTTGCCAACCTTCGTGTACCAATATAAATGGAATATCACCTTGCCCTGAAGTAAAGAATAATAATTTTTCAGATTCACAAATTTTTGTTACAAGCTATACAAAATTTATTATATATTTTTTACAGACAACTACTACTAATTGCGTTTGCAAAAGCCAGTTTGTAAGAAATGATGCCAAGAAGTGTATTTTACCTACGAATTGTCCTGCGTCAGGTAATAATTAAATTTATTCAAATGTCTTTATCAATTTTTTTTATACTGTGTAGATTAATTGATTTTTGTCTATCTTCCTTCCCCCATATAAAGAAAGTATTTTATTTAACTATTTAAATTTTTGTAAATATATTAAATAAATTTTTCTCTATGTATTTATTCTTATTTCCTTGCAAAAGAATCACACATTGTGCAAGTGAAAAGAAATCTTAAAAACTGAGTGAATTTATTACTTTTAATTTTATATGAAATTGAGTAAATGCAATTTTGAAAATGTTCAATGTTGCCTCCTTTAGATACAACAGAACCGACTGTCACAACTGAATCAACTGTTTCAACTACTCAATCTACTACAGTTTTAACTACTCAACCCTCAACTACAACAACTCAATCCACAACACAGTCAACAACACAATCCACAACAACGTCAACTTCTCAACCTTCAACAACTCAGTCCACGACAGTCTCAACTACTGAACCATCAACCGAAACAACAACAGTTTTAACTACTCAACCCTCAACTTCAACAATTCAATCCACAACAGAGTCAACAACACAATCCACAACAACGTCAACTTCTCAACCTTCAACTGATTCAACAACTCAGTCCACGACAGTCTCAACTACTGAACCATCAACTGAAACAACAACAGTTTTAACTACTCAACCCTCAACTTCAACAATTCAATCCACAACAGAGTCAACAACAAAATCCACAACAACGTCAACTTCTCAACCTTCAACTGATTCAACAACACAGTCCACGACAGTTTCAACTACTGAACCATCAACCGAAACAACAACAGTTTTAACTACTCAACCCTCAACTACAACAACTCAATCCACAACACAGTCAACAACACAATCCACAACAACGTCAACTTCTCAACCTTCAACTGATTCAACAACTCAGTCCACGACAGTTTCAACTACTGAACCATCAACCGAAACAACAACAGTTTTAACTACTCAACCCTCAACTACAACAACTCAATCCACGACAACGTCAACTTCTCAACCTTCAACAACTCAGTCCACGACAGTCTCAACTACTGAACCATCAACTGAAACAACAACAGTTTTAACTACTCAACCCTCAACTTCAACAATTCAATCCACAACAGAGTCAACAACAAAATCCACAACAACGTCAACTTCTCAACCTTCAACTGATTCAACAACTCAGTCCACGACAGTTTCAACTACTGAACCATCAACCGAAACAACAACAGTTTTAACTACTCAACCCTCAACTACAACAACTCAATCCACGACAACGTCAACTTCTCAACCTTCAATAACTCAGTCCACGACAGTCTCAACTACTGAACCATCAACTGAAACAACAACAGTTTTAACTACTCAACCCTCAACTACAACAACTCAATCCACGACAACGTCAACTTCTCAACCTTCAACAACTCAGTTCACGACAGTATCAACTACTGAACCATCAACCGAAACAACAACAGTTTTAACCACTCAACCCTCAACTACAACCACTCAATCCACAACACAGTCAACAACACAATCCACAACAACGTCAACTTCTCAACCTTCAACTGATTCAACAACTCAGTCCACGACAGTCTCAACTACTGAACCATCAACCGAAACAACAACAGTTTTAACTACTCAACCCTCAACTACAACAACTCAATCCACGACAACGTCAACTTCTCAACCTTCAACAACTCAGTTCACGACAGTCTCAACTACTGAACCATCAACCGAAACAACAACAGTTTTAACTACTCAACCCTCAACTACAACAACTCAATCCACGACAACATCAACTTCTCAACCTTCAACAACTCAGTCCACGACAGTCTCAACTACTGAACCATCAACCGAAACAACAACAGTTTTAACTACTCAACCCTCAACTACAACAACTCAATCCACGACAACGTCAACTTCTCAACCTTCAACAACTCAGTTCACGACAGTCTCAACTACTGAACCATCAACCGAAACAACAACAGTTTTAACTACTCAACCCTCAACTACAACAACTCAATCCACAACAACGTCAACTTCTCAACCTTCAACTGATTCAACAACTCAGTCCACGACAGTCTCAACTACTGAACCATCAACCGAAACAACAACAGTTTTAACTACTCAACCCTCAACTACAACAACTCAATCCACGACAACGTCAACTTCTCAATCTTCAACAACTCAGTCCACGACAGTCTCAACTACTGAACCATCAACCGAAACAACAACAGTTTTAACTACTCAACCCTCAACTTCAACAATTCAATCCACAACAGAGTCAACAACACAATCCATAATAACGACAACTTCTCAACCTTTAACCACTCAGTCCACGACAGTTTCAACTACTGAACTATCAACTACAACAACTCAATCCACAACAGCGTCAACAACTCAACCTTCAACAGAGTCAACAACTCAATCCACAACAGCGTCAACTTCTCAACCATCAACTGACTCAACAACTCAATCCACAACAGCGTCAACAACTCAATCATCAACAGAGTCAACAACCCAATCCACAACAGCGTCAACTTCTCAACCTTCAACTGATTCAACGACTCAATCCACGACAGTTTCAACTACTGAACCATCAACTGCAACTACAACTGAATCCACAACACCGTCAACATCACAATCAACAACAAGCTCAACAACTTCAACGACAACTACATCATCTACAACTGTATCCTCTACTTCATCTACTGTAATAACCACAGCATCCACATCTTCAACTATAAAAACAACACTTGCAACTATTCCAACTATAACGTGCACAGAAAGAGAAATTTATGACCCGAATGCTTTTCACGAAAATTGTCAATCTTGGTGCGCTTATCCTTTAGGAAAACCTAATTGCCCTCAAGTAACTTCAAATAATAATATGTTTAACATATTTTGAAATGTGGAATTTAATAGTATAGTTTTGTTTCTTTTCTAGGGTTTTTATCCTGGTTGTAAGTGTAGACCAGCATATCCTATTAGAAACGCAAGGGGTGTGTGTATTATCGCTCTAAACTGTGCAGTAACAAGTAATAAACAGAATTTTTTAATTCTTTATTATTATCAAATTTTTTTTTTATTTTTTGAAATATCTAATGTAAATTCGATTTGCTACTTAAGCTTTGTGTCTATTATATTTATTTTCTAACAGCTACCACAACTGCTTCAACAGTTTGCAATGCCAATCAAACATATGATTCAAGAGCTGCAAATCCTAATTGCAGGCCAACTTGTAAGGATCGTCAAGGAGCAGTGGAATGTGATTCGGTAATTATAAGATCTTATTAAGATTTTATTATTATAAGAGCTTATTATTGAAAGAAAATTTTTTTCAGTTATTTTATCCCTCTTGCGTTTGTCTACAAATATATGTTTTAAACACAAATACGAATCAATGTATTTTTCCATCAGATTGTCCCTAAAGGAACAAATTATATGGTAATGAAAATGGTATTCTATTACATTAATTATTTAATCTATAACGCTTATGTGTAATAACATCTAAGTTTACAGAGTAAATCGATAAACTTCACTTTGCTTTGATAAATATAACACTGATTCTAGTTAGCTTCAATATTCTAACTACCATTGATTCTATCTGTGATTAATATTCTAAATACCAGTGCTAGTTACCAGCAATGAAATTTTAATCTGAAAATTATCTAGTTTCTATATTATTTACCTAAAATAAATGTAAAAGCACTAAAAATTTTGGATTCATATTCATTACATTTGGGTGTAACTACCACTTTTTTTTATATGTTACTAATTATCTTTTTCTAATAACAAATTTTAATTTCTTTTTTTCCATATCACTATTGAATTTAATTTAATGAGATACAAATATTTATTGACTATTTACATGAGTTTTAATTTATTTTTAGACTGTAATTTTTCCTGGATGTGTTTGCCTGAAACCCTACATCAGGTATAGAATTACCAATCAATGCATCCTTGCATCCAATTGCCCAACTGTATACCTTGTATACATATATAATGGTAGATATTTTGATTACTTCAATAATAATAATTATTATAATAGATTCCTTCGATAGAAAATTACCACCTAGAATTTATGTTAACAATACAATGTATTGTAATACAACTGAATTGCATGAATTATATAATGTATTCTAACTATATATGAATTTATTAAAATTCCATCATAGAACATAAATTTCCATTTCACTATTATCATGGTATTTTTCGCTCGAAAATTTTTGACATCTATTTAAAAATAGTTCTATATTATTTTATTATTTAAGTATAAAATATTCTTCGGTTAAGAAAATATTTATTAAGTATGGGAATATTTTTTTCCTTTTGCTCCTAGTACTAATTCTTTTCTCATATTATTTTAATATTTCTATATTTTCATAATAAAAAAACACACTGTCAATTTGGAAATGTTCAATTTCCAATAAAAAAAGTAAAAAAATATTGTCTCGTGTGCAATTTTAAATATAGAGAAAGTTTTTCCCTCTGAAGATGCCTGTTTACCTTGCCAGCACAAACTTTCATTCATACTTGTGCTCGAGGGACAGGTTTACGCACGGCACGATTGACCGTGCGCCCCTACGACATGTTTTATGCGAGCGTGTTTTCAGCTGCACACCTTTATAGAGGGTCATAAGGTATATATATAGGAATAAGATATATATGCTACAAGGTATAATAATATTAGGGTTCTCCCACGCATACACATAACGTGGTCACAACATGGGAGGTGGCTAGAAGTGGACCATCGTTTCCAATACAAGAGTTTAAGAAAAGATCATTTGCTGACAACAATGACAGCTCCCTACAGTGTCCTTCGCACTTTTATGAGATCTATTTTTTAGGGGTTTTTTTTTAAATTGCCCCCGTCTTTTTACAACATTTTAGAATGTGTCCTTAACATTTCTTTTAACGCCCGAGGGAATATATATTATTATATTTGTCCCAAAGCATGGGTCGAACTAGACAGATGCATCGGATCATTGATTTTTTAGAAAATTTTTCAAGACATTAGTACATTTAGTTGTGTCCCTTTTTTAGCACGTCAGTCATTTCAAAAAAAAGGGATTTCCAATATATTTTGAGTTGATACATTTGTATATGTCCGACAAAAAGGAATTGTTTATAATTTTTTATAATTGTTTATAAATATATGTAATTGGTAATAATTGTTCTATGTTTTTTTAGTTTGTTTAAAATATAATGGAGTGATTCAATAGACAAAATTTGTGAATCGACTATTTTAGGGGCAAAAAAATATTATTTTGTGAAGGAAAAAGTGAATCGAGAGGAGTTTGGCAATCTAGAAGAGATGGAACACGTGCGTCCAATCTCTCTAAAAATGTCACAAGAAGCACACAAGAGATTCATCAACGATATCCATCAAGTGATACATATACTTGAGCTTTTTTTACAAGCATTTTTCACTGCTTTTTTTGATTTTTACCAGGTCTAGAAAGATTCTATCGTTACTGTTATAAATTGTCTACAAGAAATTTAGTCTATGTATTTTATTATTATTTTGTTATTATATTGATTTATTATTATTTTTTTATGTATATATTTTGTTAATTTACGTATAGAATTTCAACAATTTCTTGACGTGGAAATTTCATTAATGTACATAAATTTTTCCAATATTTCTGTAAAGTTGTGCAAATATTGATTTTGAGGTAAAATTATTTTTAATATTTTCTTCTCTTTCTCTCACTCACGTTTGTAACGTAATATTTTTCCAGTCTAGTAAACCAACGTGTAATATATATATACATATATACGAGCACATAGTAGAAATGGGCGGCAATCATCCTTTCTTCATTTAATGTTTGCTGCCACAAATACATATGTTATGTGCCTATAAACCTCCTACGATGCGCTGCAAGTGTCGCGGTACAAACTACTTATCGAAATGAAAACAAAGTCAGAAAATACCAGAAGGACGGAATATGACGAGAGGCAAGTAGAATTTATACGAGAGTACATACCTGTTTGCGTTTCGAAAATTAATAAAAACAAAATTCATATATCCAGAAACTCAAGTATTTTTCAATTGCTTTGACGGGTTATATCTCACCGTCATTTCAAATTTTCCCCTCCCATATATGCATTTAATTACACACATGAAAATGCAATCGTCTGGGTATGTGAAATTTCATCATTTACAGAGAAAATGTACTTGTTTTTTTTTTGTTTTCCGATAAGCTTTAATCGGTACAAAAATATTATAGAGCGGTATACATTAATAATTTAAATTTTTAATAATTAGGATAAATTAATAGCTTATAACAAAAATGTTTAGTTTAGTTTCAGCCAACCAAAATTTGGTTACAAGAATTAAAATTGCCTAACCAAGCGATTTTGCTGCAAACACAAAATCTTTTTTTAATGTAAGAGTACTGGTAGTTTTTTTAAAGCCCTCACTAAAAAAACTGTTTATTCTTTTTTTTATTCAAAATTCCTTCCGCGCAATCATATTATTTTTAATTAAAAAAAAAATTCATATACTTTTTATTTGCCTAATAAAAATAAACGTTAGGAATGTTGTAATATTTGCACTTTTGCCATACTGAAACTATAAAAGTTTATCAAAACAGATCAATATGGCTTTATTTGCTTGTTTGCATGTAGAATATTTGGTGTTGACTTTTCATATGTGATAAAACGGATATAGAGACTACGACCTTTTGCTAAAATAAAGGCTCCAGTTTTTTTTCCCGCGAATTCAAGAAATTGTTATATAATCCTTGTTCTGTTATTAAATTTTTTTAATATTCAGAATTTTATATATAATAAGACCAAAAACCGTTTGATAACATTCAAATATATAAAAAAAAAAAATTAGTGTAATTAAAAAAAATTAATTAAATAATTAAAACAGAAAAAATCTTTGATTTTAAGTTCATGTAATTATTTGAAATTTTTGGAAAATTAATCACTTAATAAAATTAAGTAAATACCTCTGTGAAAGGCGGATCTCCATTGTCAATACAATATCCACATGGGTGGTCTTGTCTTCGCGTATAAAGAGTTATAATGCACCTTGCCAACACCCACGAAAAAGATTCTCTTATGTATAGAAAACGTTCACATATATACTGTTGCGTTGTCCTCAACATTATAACAATTATAGTATTATATCGATTGCCATATAGTGAATCGACACATTTATCATTTGAATGAAGCGTAATTTCACGTCATTTCATAAAATGTATAGCTATCAAAGAAAAAAATTATTGTCTATCGCCTTGTCACGTGAATTTCGTACACGCGCAGTGACAGCAGAAAAAAAATCTTTTTCTGCATAGTCCACAAATTTTCCTGTTCAATTTACCATAAAACATTTAACGTCAAAATGTTCCTGTGCGATTCAAATTTTACAGCTCATAAACTAAGTTATATAAAATATTTTTTATATGTATTATTAAACTATTAGTAAAATAATTAGTATCTTTATGTTCGGTTCGGTTAAATTATCTTGGGTTAGGTTAGACTGTAAGTAAAAACTGAAGATTTATGTTCAATCTCTGGTTTATCTGCTTTATGGTAAAAAATCCTAATAAAAAAACTAATTTATTGTAAATTGCAATTTAATTGTTTCTCCGCACATGTGTGTGTGGTCTAGTTGGCAGTTCTGTAAACATACATCGTTATATGATGATGCTTGTATTTCCAAAGAGAACACGGAGCCGAAAAAATAAACAGAAGCTCCAAGCCCTTAAGGCTTTCGAAAAGGTCGATATCAACTTTGTTTATTTTGTCCAAGTCGACACCTATAGTCATATATACTTTGAAACTGTGGCTTCATCAAGTCGAGGACTTCTCATCGCTCCTCTTCACTACTATATCTGTTCGTTTTCATTTAGAAAAGAAAGTAAAAAAAACAAAGATACGATAGAAACCATCTGTAATATTATATATAAAATAATCCTCTAAAAACCTAATTGTCTCCACCGAAAAAAATGAACGACTACCATAAATGTTAAGTCAGAAAAGACTTTAAAGGGTAAATCTATATATAGAAAGAATACCTTGTTTTTCCTCAAGGAGGATGTTGTCAAGTATGTGCGAGAAAGCTGATAAAGCACATTTGTTTCAGGAAGAGAAAGTTTCAAACAGTTTTTGAGAAAAATAAATGGGTGTGAGAAGAACATATCACAATAACGATTCGTGATTCAAAAATTTTATTGTCTCGACTTCGAACTCCCTCGTGCGTACCTATACTGAAAGCTTTCAATTCGATTGCATCTCTTGATAGAAAAGGATGTAACGCGTAGGTGCTGTGTTGTAGGTGCCTCTGATAATATCGGTAAAAAAAAGAAAAGAAGAAGCACATCCCTATGCGCATGTCGCTATCGGTTATCTTTCCTAAAGACTATACACCTATTAAAATCAACAATAACAATGCGCCGGAACATTTAAAATTACAATTCAACTTGGTTTATCTTTACTTTCGATTCTGTTTCTTCTTCATTATTATATTATGTTTTCTTTTCTTTTTATTTTCAGTAACATGATAAAAGTCTTTCGACTATAATAAAGAAATTTCTAAAAATAACTATTTTTGTTATTCTAACAATTTTTTTTTATTTGCTGTTGTTTTAGCAGAGTATTAACCTAAAAATGTTTTATTAGAGTTATCGCCAACAGAAGAAATTCAGTTTTAATATCAAACAAGTAGTGTTAAGTAAAAAATTTTCAAGTCAACGTGGCTGCGTGGTCAGAGTACACGGTTCGCGTCCCAAGGGTCCTGGGTTCGATCCCCCCCGCGATTTTTCAAAATTATTCTTGTATTTAAATACTTTATATTAATAATCGTACTCTACAGAAGTGTTTAGTTAATTCCACTCCCGGAAGTATATGAATGGATTTGCACATACGCTAACGAGATGCACGTTAGATGATATATTAAGAGAATGTTTCTCTTTTAGCCGAAGGTGTCAATAAAACTCTCCAAGTCGAGAGTCGCGACTAACGATCGCCTGCGAGCTTTTTGCTGTTATATACGCGAGTGAGTGATTCTAATCTCATTGAGGCGGTCGCGCCATTGAATTTCTGGTACGTTTTCTAATGCTTCTTCTCATATATAGGCATGTCGTTTCATGCGCTCAACTCTAACCGATCGAGGCTTGAGATAAACTACAAACTCTCTAAAGAGTCAAAA